CACACACACACACACACACACACACACACACACACACACACACACACATAAATAGAATAATTTTTTAAATTTAGTCATATAGTACTTATACACTCCACAGCTTCACATACCACGATGGGGGGGGCATGGAATGCAACATCTATAGATGGGACTTAGTCTAAACTCAGCCCCTGCATATAAGGGTGAACTACTCTACCAGGCCATGGAACTCTTAATTTGAGGAGGAAAATCTATCCTGACTTATACTGGAGAAATCCTGATCCATTTTGTTTTGTTTTTGGAATAGAATCTTACTATGTAGCCCAGGCTGCCTTCCTAACTCTGCGTCCCAAATTCTGGGATTAAAGAGAAAGGCATTATCTTTATTACCCTGGTCAGGAAATCGATCTGCCTCTGTCCCGGGCTGTATACCTGCAAAACACCCTTGAAGAGATGGTTTCAGGAAGTGTCATGCCATATAAGAACTGTGGAGACTCACTCCTTCCCACACTTCACCGTGACCCATTCAGAGTCCTTCTGTCTTACTGTCCTGTTGTCATTCCCAATGTTACCTCATGGTTCACAGTTGCTGCTCCAGCTCCAGGCATTATCTGTTAGATGGAAACAACGTACCAACCCTCTTTATGGCGACTCCTTGCAAGTGAGACACATCTTTAGCTTGACCCATTCAAAGGGCTACAGGACAAGCTGTGGAATACAGGACATACCCTTGACTAAAATCTGTTACTAAGAAGAACAGAAGTAGAGAGAACTCAGCCAATAAGAGTTTTTACTGCTCTTGCTAAGGACCTGGGTTCAGTTCCCAGCACCCTCATCAGGCAGTCACAACCACCTATAATGAGTGGTGCACATAAACTTATGCAAGAACCCATAAATACACACAGATAAAGTCATTGGACATGGTGGCACACACCTTTAACCCCAGCACTCAGGAGGTAGAGGCCAGTAGATCTCTGTGAGTTCAAGGCTAGCCTGGTCTACATAGTGAGATCCAGGACAGCCAGGGCTATATAAAGAGACCATGGAGTGGGACGGGGAGGTGGGGATAGTGGGGAATTTCTGAGCACATGGTCAGCTTAACAATGGTCTGTGGAGCTACTGAGCAACAAGGACACAGAGTAGGGCTCTGGATAGTCAGAGGCTTTGCCGTCTAGGCTGAAAGAGGGAAGCTGAGTGTGTTACTTCCCACATGGCTGGGACAAAATATCCAGCAAGTGCAGCTTGACGAAGAGCCACTTCTGGCTACAGTGACTCAGAAGTCACAGCATCAAGGATGAGGCTGCTGATCATATTTTGTCCACAGTGAGGGAACAGAGATCGAGGATGCTCAGCTCACTTTCTCCTTGTTGTTCAGTCTGGCAGCTAGGGTGGCCCTCCTGCCTCAGTTAACCTAGAAAGTCCCTCAGAGACCCACCAAGATTTGTTTCCGATGTGACTCTAGATCCTGTCAGGCCGTCCATCAGTCCACACCATGGCACAAGCCAATCCTTGGCTGAGGGTAGGACTCATCCTTGACTGGTGTGTGGTTGGGAGACCCAGACAGACCCAGATGGACTCACAGGCTGTGTCCAGCACACACAAATACGTCTTCCACCCGCCAGGTCTCAGCACTGTACTCCTGGAGCCCTGGGTAGGATCACAAGGTCAGACAGGCTGAAGAAAACATTAAATAAAAGGTGTGTCAGGCCAACAGACACAGCTTCTCTTCCACTCTGCTAGACAGACTCTGGTTGGAGACACTGGAAACAAAAGTCCCAGCTCTTAGATACGACCCTAGACAAACAGTGTTGCTAGTGGGTCCCCAGGTCCTGTCTTGCTAAGGCTATGGGGCTCCTCTCCTCCCAGAGGACACATGGGAAGAATAAGCAAAGCCAGTCCCTGGAGCTATCAGGCAGTGTCAGGTCACAGCCAAGGCGTGAGGAGGCCCTACTGGTTCTCTTTGGGCTGGGGACAAGGCCATTCTAACTTGGATATTTTTCAGCCTCTGAAGATTTTAGGTCCATGGTGATTTCAGCCCATCTTCTCAATGCTTCAGGAATAAGAACCCGAAGCCCAGAGAAGTTACGTGATTTGCTGAGTGTCACACAGCAAGAAAATGGTGCACTTGGGGCTAGAACACAAGCCTCCTGGCTCTTCAGAAAGTGTTGATTGGTGAGGATGAGGACTTGTGTGTGTTGTGGGATATTCTGATTGTACTCTGACATCCCGAGACTGCCCAATAAAGTTATACCTTGAATCAGGGGGTGGAGCCAGTGACTAGCTGACAGGAATTGGCCATAGAGAAGCCAGCAATTTGGAAAGAGACGACACACAGGAAGGAAAGGGCAGGGACTAGTGTTTGATCTCTCTTGGTTCTGGGATGAGGGAAGAGTCGCCCTTGAGGTATTGCCCCCTAAAAAGCAAGGTCAGCTAGTTGGTACTCGAGCTCTCTGAGCTGGCAGGTTTTCACCTTTATCAATAAGACTTCTGAGTCTTATTGATAAATAGAACAACAGAGACTTAATTTAAACTTACATATCATGGTGGCAGAGTCAGGGCACTGGACTTGGAATCCCTGTCAGGCCTGAGTGGCTGGTGGGGCGCTGATTGAGGTACCATGGGGTGGCCAATAATAATTAAAATATCAGTAGATTCATGTGCAGCTGCTAAGCCGATTGAAAAACATCATTTGGTGCTCCAACGAGTGGTACAACCACACAGATGGAGAAGTCACACCAGCCAGCACCTCCACAGTCACTGTCTGGGCCTCTCCAAGATCCACTTGCAAGACTCCAGAAAGCCAGCTCAGGCTTGGAAATCTCAGGAGGGGCTCGAGCCCTCGGCTGATGGCACTGTTGCTACAGACAAACTGAGAAGTCAGCAGATTTGGTGAGATGCTTGGGAAGTTCTTAAGGAGAGAGATAAATAAAATTAAGAAAAAAAATTTGTCCCATGTTAAGAATCAGAACTTTAACAATGCAGTAAGTTAGGACTCTGTGCTACTATAGATGGCTTGAAAATGGAAAAAATAAAAGATGGGATAAACCACTTAGCTGGGATTGACATAATGCTGATTGTAATTACTATCAGTTTGGTAATTCATATTTTATTCTTAAAAAGTGGTATGATAACTGTGCCAAAAATAAAAATTTGATTAATAAGATATAATACTTACTAATGAAAATAATAAAAATTTGACTGATATGATATGTCTTAGAAGGACTTACTATTGACAAGATACAAGCTTTAAAAAGACCTACTAATGAAAATAAGAAAAATACTCAGACACAGACAGAGGAATTAAGAACCTACCACACCACACCATTGCATTATGAAACTGAAGAAGAGCAGCCTAAGGTTATTAGAAAATCAACCTTAATTTATCCAGTTACCATACAAGAACGACTACCAGATGATAGGTACACACACTCTCCCACTGCCCAAGGTTATACAGAAGTTAATTTGGATCCTGGAAATGTTAGGTTTGAAGAAATCTAAGGAAGCAGTTGTTTCATATTGTATGCATTCACCCTTTGTGAAGCAGATATTAAATTCATGGGTAACTCAGAACAGGATTATTCCAAAAGACTGGAAAGCTTTAGCTATAACAGTATTGGAAGCTGGTCCTCAGTTACAATGGAAAACATGGTGGAGGGAGAAAGCTAGGGTCATAGAACAACCAAACAGGGCTAGAAATATTGAAATTTCCCAAGACCAGCTTCTTGGTGAAGGCCAGTATGGTGATTTGCAGAGACAGTGTACATTTTATGATCATATGCTCTATGCCATATAGTAGCTTTAACTGCTTGGGACAGAGTTGAAGAATCAGGAAAGAGGACTGAGTCATTTACTAAAATTATACAAAGTTAGACAAATATTTGCCATAGGATATCTTTCTGTATGCTGTAAATATGTGTTGCTCTGATTGGTTGTAAATAAAGCTGTATTGGCCTATGGCAGGGCAGGATAAGATTAGGTGGTACATTCAAACTGAAGACAAAGAAGGGTGGAGTTGGGGGAAACACCAGCCCACTGCCAAAGGAGCCACATGCCAGTGGACCAGTAATGCCATGATCATGTGGCAACATATATAGATTAATACAGATGGGTTGAGTTAAGTTATAGGACCTAGCTAGCAAGAAGCCTGACCCATAGACCATACAGTTTGTAAGTAATATAAGCCTCTGTGTGTTTACTTGGGACCAAGCAGCTGCAGGACATGGATGGGAGAGATTCATCCTGACTGCATGGATCTGAAATAACAGTTGATATTGGATCTCACACATACAATGACACTTGGACAGGAAAAGTGATTTCTAAAAAATACAAGAAAAATCAAAATGTCAGATGTTTTAATTGTGGTAAACAAGGTTACTTGAAAAGGGATTGTAGGCAAGATGTTCCTAGAAACAATATTTTGGCCTCAACCTTCTGGAGTATGCAGAAGGTATGGCAAAGGTCAACACTGGACTAATGAATGCAGATTAACAAGGGACAGGCAAAGTAACCCTTTGCCAGAAGGGAAATGCCCTGAGGGGCTTCCTGCAGGTCCCAATATTAAATCTGATTCATTCATTCCCTATCAGCATTGGAGAAACTCATCCATGGAGCAATTAAATGACTTAATGCCTCTTTTTAAAAACCACACTGCTCTGGATGTGATCAAAAACAGAAAGGCTTCAATAGATACAATAGAAAGTTCAGGAGAGACCAGAAAACAAGTATTTTGGCAAAATGGTATAAATGATCAGAGACCAAAGCTAAAAACACAAATAAATGGCATTGAAATTGAGGGTTTGGTAGACACAGATACAGACATAACAATAATTTCACCAAAATCTTGGCATCCAGATTGGCCTCTTCAGAGGTAAATGTTCAGCTTCTAGGGATTAGGACTTTGTCTCAGAAAAAAACAAAGTGCAAGATGGGTGGAGCATATAGGGCCAGAAGTCGGATAGGAAAATTAAAACCATATGTGGCTAACAAGAATGGAAAACACAGATTAATATTCCTCCAATCTTAGGAACAAACCATAAAATAAAGAGGAATAGTAAAAGGTATTATCAAGAACAGTCACTATCTGTTCAAGTTGACATCAGAGAAATTACAGGCACCAGAACAGCTGGTTCAGGAGCAGCTAAATGCTTAGCATATTGAAGAATTGTCCAATTCTTGGAATTCTCCTATATTTGTCATTAAAAAGAGATCTGGAAAATGGAGAAAGTTAACAGATTTAAGAGTTATAAATAAAGTGATTTAGCCAGTGGGTTATTTACAGCTTGGAATTGTAGCTAGAGTTTTCCTGCCTGACCAATGGTCAGGACAAATCTCTCTCACCCACCATTCCCGCAGCCGCTCAGACCCAACCAAGTAAACACACAGAGACTTATATTGCTTACAAACTGTATGGCCGTGGCAGGCTTCTTGTTATCTACTTCTTCTATCTTAAATTAACCCATTTCTATTAATCTATTCTTTGCCACATGGCTCATGGCTTACTGGTACCTTACATCTCCCTTGTCATGGTGGCGGCTGGCAGGAAGGTGTATAAGGCATGAACACCAGAAACTAGAAGCTTTTAGCTGGTTAAGCTATTAGGTTTCTGAGTAACAGTTCAGTTGAGAGCCATTCGGATGAGGCTCTCAGTCAGAGGCTTCCAGTCTGAGGAAACAGGATCAGCTGAGGAATTGGCAAGGTGAGGTAGCTGTGGCTTGTTCTGCTTCTCTGATCTTCCAGCATTGACCCCGTACCTGGTTCCAGGTTTGATTTTATTAATAAGACCTGTTAAGGTTCCTGCTACATGGAATTCCTTGCCTTCTTTATTACCTAAGGGATGGTCTATCATAGTGATTGATTTAAAAGACTTTTTTTACTATAACTTTCCAAGAACAGGATAGAGAATAATTTGCCTTCACAATGACTAATAATAATTCCCAGCCAGTAAAAAGGTACCACTGGAAAGTTCTTCCATAAGAAATGTTAAACACTCCCACCTTATGTCAATATTTTGTACAACAACCATTATAACTAATTTTGTAAAGAGTTTCCTCAATCTATAATTTACCATTATATGGATGATATCTTATTGGCTGATTTGGACACAGATACTTTACAAAAAAATGTTTGATGAAGTAAAGAGAAGTTTGCCTTCTTGGGAATTATAAATTGCTCCTGAAAAAATACAAAGAAAAAAGTCTATTAATTACCTAGGATATAAGAAAGTACTAATCAGGAAATATCAATTATGAACTCTTAATGATTTTCACAAATTGCTGGGAGATATTAACTGGCTATGGCCTACAATTGTATTAACAACTCAAGAACTAAGTAATTTATTTCAAACTTCACAATTTACTATTTACTTAAATAGTCCAAGAAAACTGTCAGCTGAGACTGAGAGAGAATTGGCTCTGGTAGAAAAGAAATTACAGGATGCACATGTGGGTTTCTTGGATCCAGAGCTTGATTGTATTCTGGTTATTTTGCCTTCTATGCATTCTTCCACAGAAATTCTTATGCAGAGAGAAGATAATATCTCAGAATGGATTTTTTTTGCCACACAAATAGAGTAAAAAATTAAGACCTATGTAGAAAGGGTTTCTGAACTAATTCTGAAAGGAAAATTGAGACTTTGTCAATTACCAGGAATAGACCCAGCAGAAATTGTGATACCTTTTATTAATGCTGAAATTGCCTCATT